ATGAAAAACTTCCCTAACCTGGTGATGGAAATAAACATAAGAGAGAAAGCAAGGGATGGAGAAAACCTATTTGGAGAAATAATAATGAAAAACTTCCCTAACCTGGTGATGGAAATAAACATACAAGCCCAGGAAGCGCAGACAATCTCAAACAAGATGAACCTAAAGAGGCCCACACTAAGACACATCATAATCAAAATGCCAACGGTTAAAGACAGAGAATCTTAAAAGCAGCAAGAGAAAGTTATCTAGGAAGAAGCACCCGTAAGACTGTCAGATGATTTCTTAACAGAAACTTTGAAGGCCGGGAAAGCTTGGCATAAAACATTCAAAGTGATGAAAAGCAAGGACCTACAATTAAATTTATTCTACTCAGCAAGGCTATCATTTAGAATTGAAAAAAATAAAGAGCTTCTCAGACAAGAAAAAGCTAAAGGAGTTCATCACTACCAAACCAGTATTACAAGAAATGTTAAGGAGACTTCTTTAGGAGGAAAAAAAAGAAATAAGTATGAATAGTAAAATGGTAATAACTACGCAACCTAAACAGACATTTTTCCGAAGAGGACATACAGATTTCCAATAGACATATGAAAAAGATGTTTAACGTCACTAATCATTAGAGAAATGCAAATTAAAACCACAATGTGGTATCACCTCACACCTGTCAGATTGGCCATGATCAATCAATCAACAAACAAGAAGTGTTGACAAAGATGTGGAATAAAGGAAACCCTCTTGCATTGTTGGTGGGATTTTTCACAGAAGGAGAACAAGTTAGCTTAAAATTTATGTGAAACCATAAAAGACTCTGAATAGCCACAGCAATCTTGAGAAAGACGAACAAAGTTGGAGGTATTGTGCTACCTGATATACTGCGAGGCTATAGCAATCAAAACAGCAATAGTACTGGCATAAAAAGAAACACATAGATTAATGGAGCAAAATAGAACCCAGAAATAAACCCACGTGTATATCGTCAATTAATCTATGACAAAGGAGGCAGGGACATACAATTGGGTAAAGACAGTCTCTTCAATAAATTGTGATGGTAAAATTGAACAGATACGTGAAAAAAATGAAACTAGACCACTTTCTTATACCATATATAAGAATAAACTCAAAGCTGTATAAAGACTTAAATGTAAGAGCCAAAAGTATAAAACTCCTAGAAGAAAATGTGGGCAGCAAACTCTCCTACACTGCCCTGAGTAATATGGTTTTTGATAATCTCCACAGGTAAGGCAACCCAAAGAGAAAAATAAGCAAATGGGACTACGTCAAACCAAAAAGGTTTTGCACAGCAAAGAAACCATCAACAAAATGAAAAGATGACCTAGCAATCGGGAGAAGATATTTGCCAATGTAACATCTAATAAGCGGTTAATATCCAACATTTATAAAGAACTCATACAACTTAACCCCCCCAAAAGAAACAAACAAATAATCCAATTAAATAATGGGCAGAGAACCTAAACAGACATTTTTCCGAAGAGGACATACAGATTTCCAATAGACATATGAAAAAGATGTTTAACGTCACTAATCATTAGAGAAATGCAAATTAAAACCACAATGTGGTATCACCTCACACCTGTCAGATTGGCCATGATCAATCAATCAACAAACAAGAAGTGTTGACAAAGATGTGGAATAAAGGAAACCCTCTTGCATTGTTGGTGGGATTGCAAATTGGTGCAGCCACTATGGAAACACTATGGAAGTTCCTCAAGAAATTAAGGCTAGAACTACCTTATGATCCAGCAATTCCATTTCTGGGTATTTATCCGAAGAAATCCAAAACACTAATTTGAAAGATATATGCATCCCTATACAGTCAATAATATTGTAATAACTATACGTGGTGACATGAAAAGTAGACTTATTGGGAGAACCACTTGGTAAATTATATAAATGTCTAACGGCTGTGCTGTATACCTGAAATATAAAATAATAATGAATGTCAACTATAATTGAAAAATAAAGAAGAAAAAAAAGACCTTCCAACCTGGACAAAGTCATATTTTATCCAACCATACAGCCCCATGAGACTCTAGCAAGGCGCTCTGCCTTCAGACGGCACTCCATAAAATGCTGAATGCATGGCAAAGCTCTTCTTCTCTCACCTTCTGGTTTTCTTTAAAAACATTAAATCTGCATAGAAAACCACCAGCCTACAACAGCTTACCTTCAGTATCACCGTAAGACCAGCTTACCATTTGCAGGTCAGTAAGTGAAATAAGAAAAGAGAATCAAATAAAATGAAAAGCTTCCTCCTCAAGCCCTCACAAATGCCTTGCAGAACTGGCCAAGGCAGAGAAGATCTTTAATAAAGAATGAACACGTGATCATAATGAAGCTATGCCGAGATGGATAAAAACAGGCTGCATGGGAATGTGCCTGAAATCATTCAAGAGTCTTGCAGGTTTGTTGAAGATTTTATGGCCACCTGCCCTCCTGTACCTTCGTACTTGGTACGAGTACTGAAAAGGGGCAAAAAGAGGGGACTGAAAAAAAAAGAAAAACTGAAAATTTGGCAGCTCAAGATATTATGTCTTATGATTCTTTTCTCTCCTAGTCCTAAAATACAGAATATGTTCATAGTAGCTGTTTCGGTCAAAAACTGAAAACACCAAAACTGTCTATGAATATAGAACTGATAATCTGTAGTGTATTAATATAATGGAACGAATCAACTCTGCAGTAATGACATGTATGAATCTTAAAGCAAAATGCTCAATAAAAAAGCAAGATATATATCTTATCATTTATCATATATATATAGTATTAATCATACTATATATATATTCCATGTATATAAAATCCAAACTCAGATTAAACTGTATTTCTGTGGGTGGTACTCTTAGGTGGTAAAATTATGAAGGGACATAAATATATTGTGGATACAGAGATCTTTGCTGGTCATGTTGTAGTTCTTGACGTGGGTGATGATTCCACAAGAGTTCACTTCATAATTGTTTGCCTGTCTACCTTTTCTGTATTTGTGATAATTTGCAATAAAAAGAATTAAAATATATTAACTGTGTGCTAGGCATATCTATGGCATAAGTGGATGGATGAATCAAAGAAATAGAAAAAGAGGCCCTGAAATACAAACTAACATAAATGAGAACTTATCACTGAATAGGCAGATAAAACAATGACAAAATGAGTATTTAAGTAAATGGTGCTAAAATAAGGTGTGTGTATGTGTGTGTGTGTGGGTGGGGGGAAAGTAATTGATTTGGACTCTCAGTTGATACCTTATTGCAAAGGAAAACTTCAAGTGAATTTAAATGCTATAAAACAAATTGCAGAAAGTTAAAAAAAAAAAACAGAATAAAATATCTATGAAATTTGTAGAGGTCAGTTAATATTCTAAAATCAGAAATCATAATAAATACAAAGGAGTTGACTACAAACACATTAAAACATACATATTAAAGATGCCAATCCAAATTAAAATTAAAAAGTAAAAGCACCCTCTGGAAATGGGTAAATGTTTTTATTTCATAAATCCATAGAAATTGACTGAAAAAAAAAACAACACAATAGTCATAGATAAAATATATAAAAGAGTAGTGAACAAGTAAAAGATAACAGCATCACTAAGATGAAAGTGTTCACTCTCACTCAGTATCATGATACAAATAATCCAGTGTACCAAGAAAACCACTATAAAATTTATTAGAGACGATAATGGCATTAAAGTTAGGTAAGGGAGAAAATGCTCTATTTTTCAGAATTACGTATGAGGTTATGCAACGTGAAATGACACGAGATCTTGGACCTGAACATACTTGAACATGACAACCTAGACGGGTGAAGCACAGGCCTCCGCGCTGCTCCTGAAACACAGACAATGCACATGTGCCCCAGGGCCCTCGAATGTTTGCATTCCTCAATCTGAAACGTTCTTCCTCCCAGTAATCACCTACAGTAATTCACTGCTCTACTTCAGGTCTCTGCACAAATGTCGCCTTAATAGAAAAAGTTTCTCGTAACGTGTCACATAAAATAGCACCCTCCTTCCCCTCTCTCCACTTTGCTTTTCTTTTTCGCACTTAGTACCTGATATATAGTCCTTTGTGTGTCTCTTCCTGCGCTGTGGGCTAAGCTCTGAGAACAGAGATTTTCTTCATGTTCTATTCACTCCCGTAACCTCCGCGTTGAGAATAGAGCCGGGTGTGTAACAGGGATTCCATCGGCATATACCGAATGACGTGCTCTGCTGTTTTCTCCTCCTTCGCACCAAATCCCTCTATCTTTGCCAGCTCTAAGTTGTCGATGGAGGCACAGACCCTGTTTCCGACACTCTGTCTAGAGTCAGGGGTGTGCACGCTCCAGTCTCCTATGACTTCCGTGTGCGTCAACTCCTCTACATCGTTAGCCCTCACTTTCTGCCGAACTCCCTGTTTTAACCTCTTACGGTGGTTCGACTTGATAGACGCTACAGGTAGACGTGTTCTGGTACCTCTACTAAGCCATAAAATCCGTAACCGCTTATTCTTTTTTTCATCTCTGCGGCATCTCGCAGAGTACCTCGCGCACGTTATAAAATCGGTCAACGTTCATTAAAAATATGGATGAATCCGTGAGTGTATGAACTACTGTATTTAAAAACCTCTAGAGAAAATAAGTCTTTGGCAATGCAGAAAAGAATATATTTCAAGAGAAAGGGATGCTTTTTAATGACTGATACGAAAGAGGATGAGAAGCTGGTAAGGAACTAGATCCAAAATAAGGATAGAAAGGAGCATCATTACAGAGCGTGGAAGAGGGCACCAGCTGGTTAGAATCAGGAGAGAAGTGTAAGAGGAAAAAAGCACGCGCAGTGTGTAAAGTAAGGGGAAAAGCTGAGGTCACCTGAGAGCTCGTGCTGGAAAGGCTTACTTTTGCACCACAGGCCCAAAGCTTTTAAGGGGAGCTTCCCAGACAGCATCTCAAAGGTGAGGGGTCTCCACTGACCAACCAGGCTGTTGCTGCCATGCCTCACTTACCTGGACACTGGCCTCCCGTTACTTCTCTGTCAACCAACCAGGGCTCCTTCCCCTGCTCCAAGAAGGAGATCACATCTGGTTTAGAAATAGAATGTCCTGCTTACAAAAGAAGTAACGAGACATGTTTATGATGAGAACGTCCTAGAATTCAAATCCAGTCCCTTCATTAAGAAAGAGTCAAAGAAAGGTATAGCAGATTTATGAAACATTATGAGGCTCTGAAACTTCCCCCACAACTCAACGCGGCTGCTTCTTTCTCGCTCCGTAATATTAAAAACATTCCTCTGGGAACAGGATGTGGAAATCTAACTGGGTACTTGAAAGGCAGGTGAGTATTTCGCCCTGGAGGAAGGAGACCTTCTGAGGACAGAATCTGAAGGAACATGGACAGACGTCCTTACCCATCGAAACCAGGTTGTTGTAATTCTCCAACATCACATCTCTGTATAAATGTCTCTGCTCATCATTCAGGCATTCCCACTCCTCCTGAGAGAAGTCTATGGATACATCACTGAACATCACTGACTCCTGGAACAACAACCACGTATATGACTCGATTAATAAAAAGGAGCGTTTTATGAAGGCGAGAGAGAAGAAACAAATAAAGGTAGAGGAAGCGAAAAACAGCAAGAAGACAGATCGGGGCTGACTGTCTGAGATGCGAGGAGAGGGCCGGAAACAAGTCAGCGTGACTCAATCGCTGCGATCCGATGTCTTCGTTTCCTCTGGACAAAACTGCCTGTGTATAGTGGGATGCTTCCACTACCTAAATAATTTTGGGAAGGTACAAAGTCTAGTTAAGAGGAGTTTCCTAATTAAATGAAATAGTAGATACGAATGCCCAGCACAATACCGGTCATACGATGCGTCATCAACACGTTTGAGGTTCGTTCTCTCTCCTCTTTTCCCAAATACTAAGTAAAATTTCAGAATAAGGGATAAAGAGAACCCATTAAAAGCATCCCCGGAAGAGTAGGTCGTATAAAAGACATCAAGAATCAGAGAGGCAATGAGGTTCTTAACGACAGTTCTAAAAACAAGACATAAGGACCATTCTTCAATATTCTGATGGAAAAAGGAAATTCTAAGCGAAAATTCTATAACCAAACTATTATTCCGTTGTGAGAACTGAAAAAAGACACCCCTAGATGTAAAATGACACAGGCACAAGTTCTTAGGAAACTACCAAAAGATGTGCTCCACCAAAATGGGGAAGGAAACCAGGCAAGAGGAAGACATGGGATTCAAAAAATAGGAGAACTGGGAAGGAAAATCCCAGGTAACCAAAAAAGGGCAGTCTCGGAAAACTGCAGTGGGCCTAGAGAGTAACTAGAGCAGACGGGAGCAGGGCTAAAAAGGGAACAGGGATGGAAGTCTCCATGTCCAAGAGGAATGATGCATTTGACCAGATAGAAAACACTGATTGGCATATGGCAGTGATTGTGGAAAATTCTGGATATAAATACACGGACAGCTAAGCAAATGTGGGGGAAAAAAAACAATTAACCCCAGGAAAAATGAGAAGTTGTAATAGAATAAAGCTGAGCTAGCTTGGCAATGAGCAATATTTGCAGTCCTAATGTTGTACACACTATCATTTTAACCGAAAGTTGCGATGTGATTAATAACAGAACCAGAGGGAACAATACGGGTGCAATACGGGAGTACAACGTCCCTTCCACTCTGCGGTAAGTCGATGAGATAATAAGTAAATTGATTCATTGAAAGATAGCAAACTGTACTCAAGAGTTGAGGACAGCTACCTTTTTGGAGTGGGATTGCTGATGGGATAACACTAGAATAGTACTACTTCACTTGTAAACATATGTAAAATGAGTTTAAAAAATATTTTATCTTAGAAAATTAAATTTGTATGTAATTCAAGACTAATTCATTCTGATGTCATATTAAGAATTATTCCTTGTTACAACAAATTCTTTTTATAAGCATATTTTTTCACTGAATAATATTCTATTATATGGATATAAATGATAACTTCTCTTTGGCTTTAAGATATGGAGGTATAGGTGATATTTAAATATCTCCCCAATGTGGACCCAAACTTACTGATAACCACCCATTGTTCAACTGTAAATTCCCTTTGTTCCTGAGCTGCAGGAAACTGACGAAGGATGACCCACATTCCCACAATAGCATCACTGAGGGCTATTTATCACAGAAGATCTTGTGGGGTATAGGACCTCTGTACTGACCACCAGTCACAGACCCAAACCTAAAAGGCTCATGCATCCGGTCATTCCATAAATTAAGACTGAAACCAAACAAAACCATTCTACATATTTTTTTCACTGGAAAACCTGAGTGTGTGGAAATGATCAGGGCTTTTCCCTATGAGGAGTCCTTAATTTCTCATTTTCATCCTATCAAACCACGGTCCAAGCAAATTAGATACATCAATAAATGAGGAACACATTTCTATCAAGATTTCTGGCAGAAGTCTGAGATGGAAGATGCTAAAGGATTTACAAAATGAATTTGTAAACTCTGTTTAAAGGAAGAAGGCGGGGAAAAAAAGGAAGGGAGATTTGGGGAGCGCACTGGGTTGTTTAGGAGGAAACAGGGGTGGGGGTCCTGAAGGGGACCATGTTAACCAGTGCAAAAAGTTTTTTTTGCAAACCTGGTCTCAATCAGACCACTTTTACATCATGTAATTCCCAATCTCTTTGTGGGAACAAGTAAGGATTCTTAATGAAATTCACAAGGACTTTCCTGATATATTTTAATCTAAGACCTCTTCAGAGAAACTTGTTATCCGACCACATGGCCGTCCTAACAGTTATCGCTAAGAGTGTAAAGATCTTTAACCAGATGTTCTTTTCTTTCCTACAATGATTATCTAACCATTTCTTTTTTCTATAACTATCTCCACCAAGAGAGAAATATTTGACTTGGCTTATAGGAGACCTTTTTCTTTAGAGCAAGGGTAGGAGAACTTTGGCATTACTTATAACTAAACTGTCTGAGAGTTAAAAAAAAAACCAAAAAACAAAAAAACAAAAAAACGAAAAGTCTCATGATGAGGAAAGCAAACGTTTACATGTACTAGGGGTAAAATGACTCCATTTGAGCAAAAGAAAACAGCACCTCACCTGAGCCATGGCTTTGGTATTTGCAGAAAAGGACCAGTCCTCCTCTGGACTCCTCTTTTGGAAAAAGGCGGAACTGGGGGAGGCAAAAAAAGCTACATAAGATCTCACTTGCCTTACAGTTCCCCAAATGATCATTTCCCCTTTGTTCACTCCACACAGACACTTGAGGGGTTATTAGAGAGAAGAACGGGCAAATATCTCGTTACCCCCAACTCCAGAAACCTCAGGTTTTGACTAGAACAGGACAGATTTATGCAACCTAATACGGCTTGAGAATATAGTTTGTATATATGCACACATACACACAAAGATATAATTTTTTATACGAATCACAGCGTATTATACATACCATTATATATACATTGCTATTTTTACTTGCTTGATAGACGGGATCCCAGCTAGTACCTAGAGTTACATAATTATCTTAGCTACATTGTATTTCATTACATAGATACACTTTATTTAACCAACCTGCTGTGAACAATCATTTGGGTTGTTTCGAGTCTATCATATATATTGATATTTTTACTTGCTTGATAGACGGGATCCCAGCTAGTACCTAGAGTTACATAATTATCTTAGCTACATTGTATTTCATTACATGGATACACTTTATTTAACCAACCTGCTGCCAATGATCATTTGGGTTGTTTGGAGTCTTTCACTATAACAATGTTACAATAGAGATCTCTGTACATATATCATTTTACCGGTATGTGAATTTTGAGTGATTAATTCCTAAAAGTTGATCGTAATCATTTTAGTTGGATATACATTGGTCAAAACAGCTTTCAATGATCTTGGATTGTACAATCAGGTCCCATGTCCTGAGCAAGAAGCGACTGATTGATAAACTAGGTCCTCTAACCTTGTCTGAAAGAGTCTTGCCTTAAAATAACTGAAATCAAAAAAAGCAAAGTAATATTACTGAAGCTTTAGGAAAATATTAACATTAGCATAACAATAGGAAGGAATTAAGAGTATACAAATAATGAAGAAATGAACTAAACCCACATCACTGATGCTTTAGAATAGCTTCTGACTGTAAGTGAAGCAATAATTTTAATCATCAGGTATGTTCTATGTGCTTAAGATGCTTAAAATATTCCAAAATAAGTTACGCTAAAATACTAATAGAAGTCAAAATTGTTTAAAGAGAGCAATTAAATTTGTGATTGATGTTTAAATTTTTAAGAAAAATTTTTTTGATTATTAGATATAGGAATATAATAAACAGCATTGTAAAAGTATAAACAGCAGTGAGTTATTTGATCATTAAACAATTTGTCAATAATTTCATGTAAAACTAATGACCCAAGAAGCAGTATCATGCTATCAATTATTTAATGGCTACTTCTACCCCTAGACACTCATTGCATTCCCCCAGGTGTATACATAGTCCAGGAAATGAAAACCAAAGTAATCCATACATGTCTCTCCCTTAAAACCTGAAAGCATTCTTTCAATATTATTCTTGTTATTATTATTACATCGAATTATTAAAAAACAAAGAGAAAGGAAAAATATCTTGGAAGTATCCAGAGGAATAAAAAACATCACCAAAAGCACTGATAAAAAAATGAACAGTATCAGGAATGAAAAAGGTAACATCATTACAGATGCCACGGACATTAAAAAGATAAGCAAATACCAGTAACTTTATGTTCTTAAGTGTGAAAGTTTAGACGAAATCGACAAATTCCTTAAAAAATATGCTAAAACTGACAAAACAAACAAAATCCAGAAAATCTAAAGTGTTAAATTGTACAAATAAAAATAACCCTTACAGCAGCGTTCACATAAAGTTTTAAAACAAGGGGAAACTACGGCATACTGCTCAGAGAGCCATCCATAAGAAAAAAAACTTCATACATTTATCCAGTCACACAAATCACATAAACACCACGGGGACATAGAGCTAGAGAAAACCTCCAACCAAGGCGACAGGGCCGCAAACCCAAGGCCTCACACGGTCACAGGCACCGCACACCTGTAAGCGGTCGCAGAGTCACAATCACACGAACCACAGATCAAACCACACAGTACTCACAAGTGCCTCCATCTCTACTCTGCAGCACAGTCACACGATCACACACCCCTACGGGGACGAACGCGGCCACATCCCCCGAGTCCGAAGGTGCGCACCCCCGCACACACAAAGCCGCACGTGGTCCCCATCCCACACAGACGAGCGCGCCCACACGCACCGCCGGGAGGCGTCGGGTCACGCCCGCACAGTCACAAGCTCCGGGACTGTGCACCGCACGGTCCTCACTGGAACGGCAAGTCAAAATCGCACGGCGGGTCACCGCACAGCACCGCAGAATCTGAATCTCACCTCCTCCGCGGTACAAAGCCGAGACTCTGGCCCCGGCCCCGCCCTCTCCCCGGGATCCTCACCCCGGGCCTTTCGCGCCGGCCGAGCCGCAGCCGCCTCCCGCCCCGAACTGCAACACTTGCCGCTGCCGACCTGAGAGTCCCGCCAGCGCGTGACTTTAAGGCTGGCGAGAATTCACGCGAGAATCACGCTGTGCCGAAGAGCTCTCTGGGAAATGCAGTCAGAGACGCATTTGAGGAGAGCAAGATGGCTCCCGGCCATCGGAACTCTTGGCCGGTCTTAACCGCGGCCCAGCCGAAAAGATTGCGCTCCCTCATCGAACCGCGCGCACTAAAGGCCTCACAAAGCCCAGCTCGTGGCTCCCAAAGTAGGCCACTCCGATGCGTTTGGATTGGGTTCCTTTCCGGACCTGCAACACTTTCCCCAGGAGTTGGACAGGTTCAAGAAGAGGAGGGCCAGGTTGCAAGGGAAGACGGTAACGCGCCGCTGGGCCTTCTGGGAAATGTAGTTCTGAGCCTGGAATGCGGTGGAGGCACCGTTTGAAATTCCCCGTAGTTCTTCACACCCCGGAGACTTCGGGGCGTGTTAACTGCGCCCAAAAAGTCAACCGGTTCCGACGTGACGTGGCTTCGGCATGGGGTTCCTCAAGCAGAGGAGATGTGGAACCTGAGCTTGCGAGTCCCAGAGCTGGACAAGGAGGCCGAAAGGGGGGTGGTGAGGCGGGCTCCGTAGAGAAAAAGAGTCTGGTGTGTGACTTAGGTGTCAGAGGTCGTAGAGAGTGGGAGAAACTGGCTTCAGAGTGAGTACGTGTGACCAGGGTTGGATTTTGGAGAGTAATCGCTGAGCTTCATCGCTGAGCAATGACGAGAACAGGTCATGGTGAGTCGTCATGTACCAGGCATATAACTTCTTTAGTAAAAGGTTTATCTTTGCCTGAAGCAAGCCCTGTCCGGTGTTTCTGTGCGGCTAGCTTAACACACCTTTGAAATGTCCCTTTTCAGAACCCTCAAGTGGAATCCATCCTCATGCACTTTCATTCTCTCCTTAATCCCCAATTCATAAAAGAAGCTGCAAACTGCTATTCTAAAAACCATTGTTTTTCAGTATATTGAGATCTTCCTTCCAGGCATAACCTTCCTTCCAGAAAAACATTGTTTTTCAGTATATTGAGATCTTCCTTCCAGAGGTTATGCCTGGAAGGAAGATCTCAATATACTGAAAAACAATGTTTTTTTTGAAATTCTCTACAGGTTTGGATGTTCTTACGTCAACAAACATTAAAACAATTTACAGTCCTACAAGAAAATGAATGAAACTGCCTTTTATCTATTCTTCTATGGAGTCCATTTGCTCAACGAATACATGTTGAATTTTATATGGTAACTTAAGAATCATCAATAAATAAAATGGACAGATATTTGTAATAGCAGAACCGGCTTAAAATGGTCCTATCCAGTGTAATGAAATACTGATTTGCCTTTTAGAGACAACAGACCAAAACCTCAAGTCATCTAACTGAAGCATGCACAGAGGAGAGAACTTTGACCTCCGGCTGCACCCGGAACCAAAGTCTTGCCACCCCCACCATGGAACCAAATGACCAAGGTATAACCAGAACTTGAATGCTGGAACCCCTTCAGGCGCCAAGGGCCCATTGTTCAGGAAAATCCGGTGCTGACATCCTTTTACCATAAATGGCCAAGTTCCAAGGTCCTCCAATTAAAACTTGTCCTACCAGCACTTTTGCATACCTGTTTTTCCTAACCACTTAAAACTGCTTTTATCCTCCAAATTTTGATGCGTCGTAGTCATTTTCATTTGTCTCATATCTTTCGATCTCTTGCTTGATTTCTTCTTTGACCTTGTCATTCTTTAGTAGCATGTTGTTCAATCTCCACGTTTGTGGGTTTTTTCCCTTTCTTTTTGCGGCTGACTTCCAATTTTAGAGTATTGTAGTCAGAGAATATGCTCGGTGTGATTTGTTTTCTTAAGTTTGTTGAAGCTAGTTGTTTGCCCCCGAGATATGGTCCATGCTTAAGAATGTTTCATGTGCATTAAAGAATATTCTGGTGTTCTGGGATGAAAAGCTCTGTAGGGCAGGCCTTGTGGTGGAAAATTCCCTTAGTTTATGTCTGGAAAAGTGTTTATTTCTCCTTCATATCTAAAGAACTTTGCTGGATATATTATTCTTGGCTGGTGATTTCTCTCTTTCAATAGTTTGAATGTTTGATTCCACTGTCTCCTGTGTTGTAGGGTTTCTGCTAAATAGTCCAATGATAATCTGATGGGATTTCCCTTATAGGTTATTGTCTTTCCACTGCCATCTTGATTGGAACTCCCTGCTTTTCTTGTAAAAGTGTTTAGCAAAAAAGGTCTTTTGTCCAGTAGGTGACACTGACACGTAAGATTTCATTTTCTCTTACAATGGTCAGGCTCCTCAGATCTCTGTGGGGTGGTGGGAAATGCCCTTTATTCCATGGGGAGGTGAGCATCTCCTCTGTGACCAGGTCACTGTGCTCTCAGGGCACCACGCCTGTGGGGGAATGTGATGATGGGGGATATTATTCCAAGCCTGTGAAACCCCAGCACTGCCCCTTGCAGTCAGACTCTGTGAGCAGTGCTGCATTACCCAAGGTGTTCCAGGTGTCACAGCTGTGATGGTTTTGGGTAGGATGGGCTGGGCTGGGAGAGGCCAGCTACTTTATTTATGGCTTTGTTCTTTTCCCAGTAATGGCTGCTGCCAGGCCTCAGCTGCTGTACCTCTGTATCTCCACCCCTGTCACTGGGATCAGCCACAGTGTGTGCCTGCCTCTTGGGCGGTGGGGGGTGGGGCAGGGGGAGGAGGACTGGGTTGGTGCCTGCTGAAGACCAAGATCACTGCCATGCTGGGGAGGAGTGGGACAAGAGGAAAAAATGCTACAAAACTTATATTTTGAAGATATTTTTTCTTGACTGAGCACTTGCTTGTTCCTATATACCTGTGACTGTTTTCCAGAGGTACTGCAGAGTTAGTTCAGAAAACTTGTTTTATTCAGTTTCTGTGGGGTAACAACTGCTTGGAGCTTTTTAATTCAACATTTTGGTGATGTCACTCCCAGGAATTATATGTCACATATTTCTTGTTTCAACAATTTTTATTTTAAAATGAAATTGGGGCTTAGGGAAGTTTTATAAATTCTCCAAAATTACAGTTTGTTGATAGAGTTGGGATTATACCCTCCCAATGAAGCGTCTTTGTCTTACCATCTATTAGGAGCACACAGGAAGCATCTGAGACACTTCCCCATATGTGATTGACTGCAGTAGAATTAAGCAGGAAATGAATTGTCTTAGCTTGGGCTACTATAATAAAACACCACAGACTAGATGGCTGAAACAACAGACATTTATTTCTCACAGTTCTGGAGGCTGCAAAATCCAAGATCAATAAGCCAGCAGACTCACTGTCTGGTAAAGGCATTCCTCCTGATTTGCAGATAACTGTCTTCTTATATCCTTACAAGGTGGAAAGCGGAGATAGAGGAAGCTTTGTTGTGTCTCTTATAAGGGCCTGCAAAGTCCCAAGATCAAAATGCTGGCAGACTTGGTTCCTGATAAGGTCTACTCCCCAGCTTGTACATAGCTGCCTTGCATTGTGTGCTCACGTGGCCTTTCCTTGCTACATACACATGGAGAGAGATCTCTCTTCCTATAAGTGTCCCACCCTCATGACCTAATCCAAAGCTAATTACCTTCCCAAGGCCCCATCTCCAAATACTATCACACTGGAAATTAGGGATTCAACAGATGAACTCTGAGGGGATTAAAACATCACAATTTGAATAAATGCAAAGGCATACTATATTTGGGGGCAGAATATCAATATTATGTTACTTCTCCTGAAATAAATGTATAAATTTAATGCAATCCCAATTAGAATACCAAAGGATTTTCATCATGAGAAAACTTCATTTATATAGAAATGAAATCAATTTAGACTAGGCAATAAAACTGGAAAACAGCAAGAGGGGCTTACTATTGTTACGCAGTATCAAAATATAAGGCTAATGTTAAACTAATGTTATCAATTCGTATGACATTAGGATGGGAACAGAAAAATAGATGAGTGAAACAATACAGAAATAGGTTTTGATATAAATGAAAATGCAAAGGGGTTTCAGTTGAAGAAAAAAAACCGTATGGGTAAATGATGACATGGCAGTTTCGGTTCAATGGTGTGGTATGATTATCAGTAAAGCATCAAGAACAGGCCTTTCCCACTGACCTATGTCTTAGATTTACCTTAGATATACCTTCCCATCAGTTTTCTTGAATAACATTGTAAATCCCTCATTTGTAGTCTCTGTAAATCCCTCATTTGAATGGGGAGAGCTGTGAATTGGCATGTAGACACCGACAGCCTATGTGATAAAGCATCATAAGTCATGGGAAACCAAGGAAGTGGCTCCCCTGTGCCTAAGTGGATATTAGTCTTACAACTGAGTATGCCCCAGGTAAGGATGGCATACCATGCAAACGCATGGGTGGATTATTTTAAAATGTCCCGGATGAGAACATTAATGTTTCCCAGCGCTTAGGTGAAGCATACCCATTCTGACCTCTTTCCTCTACAGTGCTGAGGCCTTGGAAGCTGTGTTTATTTGGGCAGTTGCAGGGCAGTCTGATGAACCTGTAATCAGAACAAAGGTGCTAATGAACCTAATGCAGCGTTAAAGCCTATTCTGTTTCTTTGATTCCCAGTTCAAATCTGTGATTGCTGCTGGTGTCAGCTGTGTGACTGGCTGTTGAACAGATGAATTATTTTAATGAACTGTGCTTGTTCGATGGAAATCTGTCTGGAAGAAGAGAACAATGAACCTGATTTTATATTACATTAAAAATTAAATTCTAGATGGATTATTTACATATTGAAAAAAACTTGCAAGAAAACTTGAGAATATATGCAATCTAGAGGTTAAAAATATCTTAATCCATAAGCTTAGAAACAATTAATACATATTTGAGTATATAGAATTAAAATGTCACTTTTATAAGAAATATTAGACAAATTCCTAATATCTAATATACAAAGAGGTCTTCAAAACTGACAAAAATATAGATAATCCTATAGCAAAATGGGCTAACAATATCAAAATTTCTGAAGAAGCAAACCTAGGAGCAGGTGAATTTTATACTCATCAGACAAGCATGAATTTGTGTAGCATAATACTTTTGTTGGGCTTGAGGAAACTTGTTTCTAAAATCACTGACGGCAGCTATTAAAATTTTAAAATAGCACATATCTTTTGATATGTCTAACCATCTCTTGCCTGTAATCTACCCCCCAGCAATAAAACACCTAAAATATAAGAGCCAATTACAAGCGTGTTTAGTGTAATGTCCATAGTGGCAATAACTAGCAACAAGCTGAATCAGTAGGGGATTGGCTGAATAAATTTACAGTACACAGTATCACAGAATACTGTGCAGCAACTGCTCATCCTATTTTATCTGACCATTATAATTAATCTCGTCGCCGGGCCCTAACACTTCCTAGTTTGGTCTGAATTGAGAGTTCCTAGTTCTGGGAACTTCGAAGGTGTGCAAGCACAAGGGTAGAACACTTAAATATAAACGTTTAAAGAGAACTGGAAGAAAATACAACTTAGATTCATGTTGATGTACATGTATGTTATTTAGGTATATTACCTTAGAAAACCAACTGCTGGCATTTATCATCTTATCTTGACACTAACTTTTGAAAATGCTAACAAGCAGTGCAGTGCTATAGTTACATTAGCATTTTGTTATTTTGAATTTAAAAGAAATTCATACATTTGAAACCAAGCCAAGGTTTAAATGTTGTATACTCATTTTTATCAATTCAAAAAGAGCACTAACAGCTTTTTATATATTGTTATTGTGAAAAAGGATCAAGTATCCCTTTCAAAAATCTCCCCTTACCCCAAATTTGCTTCAAATAAAATACTGTTTAGGACTGAGATCTCTCTTTTCAGCATCCTTTCTCCCCAAAGAAACAAACAAGAGGGAAGGGATTGATTGTCTCTGGCAGAATAGACAAAATATTGGTCTGACATTAAAATTGAAGCTGAAATGCAAGAGTGGATGTTTTACTGTGTCACCTTAAAAACAATGAGTAGCGTGGTTTCCTTATTTAAAAAGTGTCTAATTTCTAATAACAGTACTGGGGGTATTAAGTTCTCTGATGTTTCATTAAAAATTCTACCAGCTCTGTACATGATCCTTAAATATATGTGATTTGCCCAATCTGTTGCAAAATCATGCTAAACTTCTTGCTGTAACTTCTAATTGATAATAGATGTGATTTGATATGTAAGAGTAATTTAAATAATTGGAGCTGTTAAGATACCATCCCAATTTAAAAAGTTATTTCACATCTTAAAGATATGACTTTAGAAACATTTCCTATAAAATATTAGCATGAGTAGGAATGTGTGTCCATTTTAACATGTTTTATGCACAGCTCCCCTACTCATCTTTTTTTAATTTTCAGAAGTTTAAAAGTGGCACAAAAAATAAAATGAGCACATATAGTATCACAACCTAGAATTAATATTTGGTTATGTTTACCTAGAATCTTTACTTTTTTAATGAGACATTTAGATACAAAACTGAAGTATCCTTTAACTACCATGTTTCATTCCATTTCCCTTCCACTGCATTCCATTTCCCTTCTAGCTGCAACCACTTTTGAGAACTGACTATGTATCCTCTCATTCTTCAGAGTTTTACATAAAAATGTTCATCCATAACTAGTGTTTAATATTGGTGTTGGTTAGTGGTGATTTAATTAAAATCCCCACAGATATCATAACATATTCATCATTTTCATTTTTCTTCACTATACGTTTTTTTAGATCTTTGTTAATACAAATTTGTTGTACTTAACTACTAGAGAATATTCTACCATGTGACGATGTCATATTTTACTTAACCATATTACAAGACACATTTGTTTATGTTATTTTGTTAATATAATTCATGCTGCATTGAACATAAAATTACATGACTTCTTGGGTACATGTATGTTTCTTAAGTATATGTATATATATTCAAGAATGAGTATTCTGGAATCTAGTTTAGATTTCCCCTCCTCCAAGGTTTAAAAAACATTCTATAAAATTCTTGTATTACTAAGTTTTGCTTTTTGCATTCTAGTTTTAATGTTATTGAGTTTCATGATAAATAAATATCTTAATGTATGGTGACAGCAAATATCTATTATTTTTCTATATGAAGACTCAATTACCCTGAGACCATTTC